GAGCCTGCGCGCCAGCCCTGGATCCGCCTTTGAAAAATTCTTTTTAGGGGGTATATTGGCTAAAAATTGATCTGCTATCTTTCCAGCTTTTTCATAATGTACCAGTATTTCACGTGTGAAGTAAAATTACACGAAGGTTATAAGTCTTAAACAGCCGTGAAGAAACGAATAACAGATTTTTAATTTATAGAAAATCTACCAAGCACTAATAATATTAAAGATCTTTTAATTTTTGGCAAGGTTTTGAATGCTGCAACATTGTTACGAAATAACTAAATCGATGTATAACACTATTTTCATGCATGTATTTTTACGTTCACTCTCTCTGTATGATTATTTCCTAAATACATGTAGCATGTAGTTATTACTCTGATAAGCCAACTGGAATTAAGAAACTTGAAACCTCATCGTTCAATACAACAGCAGCTCCTCCCAATGCAGTAAAAATATAAAACGACCAAACATGCAAAACATGTGGGGATTTCCTTTTATTTTAAAATAAATACAGTATCAGATGTGTAAAAGTAAAAAAAAAAAATTATAAGGAACATGTATATCAATTCTTATTTTATTTATATGAGCGAAATAATTGCATTATATAAGACTTCTGTGCAGGTCTGTGTCGTTTAAGATTCGGATGCAAAAGTGGGTGGGGGATATTTCTTTAAAAGTATTCGAGATTTCATAGAAATAGCAGGATTTGATATTTGAAGTAATTAAATTTATGATATTTTCTGAACCTCTTCGAAAGAGAAACTACTTGAATATTACCAAACATAACAATATTCAGTGTCACTGTCAGTTTATATTTTCTAAAATTAATATCATAATTCTAGACTCACTCGAACCCTAGCTGTAATAGTTAGGGTTCGAGTCTAGAATTATGATATTAATTTTTTTCAGTTATAGACTATCAGAGTTATTGCTCGAAAAAACAATGATCAAGTAAGCTTTTTTTTCAAATTTAAAATAGAGCCACATACGATAGACTCTATCAGGCAATTAGGCTGTTTCAAGGAGCTCCATAGACATCTCGGGGATATAAATTTACAATCCAGCTGGTAAAACTTCGACGATGAAGAAGAGTACAATGAATCAAGAATGAGAAGCCTGTATAAGGTTCCAACTGTTTGTGCCCCCCCCCCCCGAAAAAAAAAGAAGAAAAAGAAAAGAAGCTGGGAAAATCTTTCTCTGAAATTCATGTGTAAATATAATACATAAAATCTTTGAAATATATTACAAAGCTAGAATTCCTTATAAATTTTAGACACTTCGATAAATGCACTCAGTTGTACGTGTGAACCGATATTGTAATTGCATGTTTATTTTATCTAGAAAACTTATAGTTGGGAAACTGGGGCGTACTTTGCTGTAAGATTCCGAGGACATGTGGTATCCCGGCAAAGTAGTAAACACAAAAGATTCAGAATCCTTCACCCTGTGGGAAATAAATATTGAACTGGCCCCAGAAGTTATCTGATAGGGGTCAGCATACGAACTGTTCTTTGCCGAAGTGATGTCCCAGGAGGATTGTCGACATTCAATCACAAGGCTATAGACGAATTGTAATATATATGATTAAAAATATTTACACAACTTTGTCAGACCTGGATAAAGTGGTGACTTATTAATGAATCATTTTGTGTTAACATGGTTAACGCAGTTAAACAGAATAGCAATTTTACATCAACATGATCGCACAAGATTTATTTGAAATATGAGAAAAGGACAGGATGTAGACCATGCCCATTTCACACTAGAGTGTATGATACAGGTCAAGACAGTGAGAGAGAGTACCGATATGTACATGTATAAAGTAATGATTTCTCTTCTACTATGGCCTATCAGTATCAGGAGGCGGGAAGTTAAAGTCAGGGACGCAGTATCGTTCTTGAACGGGAGCAGAAAAAAATGACAAAATACCTGAAAAAAACCTTGAGAAGCAATGAAAAAGGAACTAGAAAATCCTATTTCGTTAAAGGGATGCGGCGGGTGGGTTAGGTTACACTGAACTTTCTTTCACAATCAATTTATTTTTCAATACATACATGTACCAATTTAATATGATTTAACTATGCTACAACAAAAACTGGGGGTGGGGGAGGTAACCAGCCTTTTCAATGACCTTTTTTCAAAAGTGAAATTTTATGTTGGAAAAAAAAGGGGGGGGGGCAAGCCGTTCTTAATTGCCCTCATGAAACTATACGTGTCTGTTAATCAATGTTTGACTCGGCGGGATACTTTCGATTTATACGAATTTGAATAGACAAACTGATGCCTTTCCCTTTTCTTCAAACTTTCAGATGAGTTACGAATTGGTCAAGGTGATCTATGTAAATTAAATGATTGTATTTTTTAAGGGAAAAATATTGTTTTTTGTAAAAAATGTTTTTGTTCGTGGCTTGGTGTTCTTGTTTTAATTGTTACAGCAGTAGTGTAGTAATACATCCATTGCATCCATTGTATTCCTGTATATGTACAAACTAGGTCACTTGTGAGAACTCGTTTATAAAATCAGAGCAGTGAGTAGTAAGCTATCATTACTGAAAATTGTAAAATGATAAAAGGTTCTTGCGTTTATTTCTATATTTTTATGGCTTTTGATTTTCATAAATTTGAAGCTCCCTCCCACCACCTCAACCATAAAAGTTTATTTATGTTAGGAAAGCACTCTACAAACGTTTTTCCCCTTGTTAGAAGTTGACATATAGTTGGTGTAGGGGTCACGTAAACTGTACCTCCCCCCCCCCAAAAAAAATCATTTCATTTTTACAAATGTCTTTGACATGTACACAGTCAGCAACAAGGGCAATTCTAGTATACCATTCTCCTGTACACTAGGTGTACAACAGAAGACCATATCAATTAAACAACACTTTTTTGTAATTCAACGATCTTTTTGCAGTGATTTTATGTGAAGTATAGATTTTCGTAATGTTACGGTTTTCTGTTATATTACGGATTTTCATAATATTACGTTTTTCTGTTATATTACAGATTTTCGTAACATTACGGTTTTCTATAATGTTACGGATTTTCGTAATATTACAGTTTTCTGTAATGGAACGATTCTTAACAGTTTAGGTTTCCTATTTTTTTTTTATTCCGAGGATCGACAGTTTTCCGAAAATTGGTATAACATACGCATACTCATTTAAAAACCTTTTAATTTTAATGGATGTTTTAGTACAAGACACTTGCATTGACAATAGGCTAAATTTTGAAGTGACTTTGGTCGATCGAGTTGGGTTTCTTGAAAAATGATATCAAGTAATCAGATTTTATTAAAATTAGTTATGAATTAATTTCAATATTTTCTTAACATCTCATAAATCGACCATTTTAAAACACTTTTTAACGATGCAACTTTGTACTATTAATAGCTGCTTTCAAAACACGAAAATTAGGTCATGGGTTAAGACACATCTCTGTAGAATTTTGACATGCATGTATGTGTTATTTGCATAACTAACCAGGTTTTCATATGAATAATTGCAAAAAAAATCGTGCTTTTCATGTTTTCACGAAGTATAATTTATAAATCCACGATATCATGATTAATGCAGTGTATCAGAAAAAGGGAAGTAACTCTTACAAAAGTTAGAAATTGCTTATATTACAACTTTTCGTAATATTACGATTTTTCGTATTGGACTGGACTGAATAATGCACTTTCACTATATGATCTATGTAGCCCCGCCCTAGCACCAGAACCCCTGACTCTGGGGCCATGAATTTCACAATTTTGGTAGAAGGCTCAATGCTTATTAAATCAAGCCAACAGTTTGACTGCTGGATGTCCAGGAGTAAAGAAGAAGATTAAAGATAGCACTAATTTTGATGGTATAAGCTCCACCCCTCAGGCCCCAGGGGGGCAGGGACCATGAAATTCACAATTTTTGTACCCCTTCACCCATTGATGCTATATGCCAAAATTGGTTGAAATTGGTTCAGTGGTTCATAGACTGTCCCTAAAATCCTCTACATCCCACTTCTACTGCGAAAAACCAGACCTTCCATCCATTTTGTCTTAGTAATATTGTCTTTTCCTTCTTCTTTTTTTTTTTTTTGCTTTGCAAAGAATTTATTTATTTGTATTTTTAGGTCACCGGGGTCACTCAGGTGACCTATTGCTATCTGTTTTCGTCCGTCGTCGGCTGTCGTGCGTCGTCCGTCGGTCGTAAACTTTTGAACATTTTCAGTTTCTTCTCTTGAACCACTGAACCAATTTCAACCAATTTTGGCATATAGCATCAATGGGTGAAGGGGTACAAAAATTGTGAATTTCATGGTCTATGTGGAGGGCACTGAGAGTCATTGGTATTACTGGAGCAGAGAGAAGGAGACTGATAGGGAGTCTGTTTAGGGAGGCAGAGTCAGCATCTATGTGGTTGTGGAGAAGAAGGGCAGATAAGTGGAAAGACAGTTAAGATACAGCAGTGATATAGACAGTAAAATAGAACAGCAGCGATGTTAAGCCAAGTGGTTCCGGGCTGGGACCTGATCACCCCAGTCGGCGCACCTCTGGAGGCTGTAGTGGACAGCGCCGAAACAGCTGATGAAGGAGGATCCACCTGAAGACGGAACCACGCATCTTTCCACCAGGATGTATACAAGTAAAAAAAAAAGGGGGGGCATTAAAATGAGCACAGATTTTATAACAAGAGTGAAAGGGTTTTTTAATGTTGTGTCAAATGAAAGGAGGGCATAGAAAAAAATCCTTTATCAAAAATAGATTCCTTTCCAAATAAAAAAAAATTGAGGGGGGCATAAAAAGGAGCACATATTTTATAACGAAATTAAAAAAGTAATTAATGATAATATACTTAAGGAATATATTAATTCATTCAGTCACATGATACGTATATTTTAAGACATAGTTCTTTTTAAAAAGAAAGGTCATACAGGAATGTCCTATTGTCACGAATAGTATTATGTACGAGTTATCTTATACCAACTTCGAAATCGCAAGGTCTTGGATGTTTTCCTTTGAAATCAGTGAAAAGGCCCGAAATATAGGAAAGGAGAAATTGAATGCAATTTTGTCGAGTTTTGAGACCGGGCTTTACAGCAAATGGTACAGTAAATTTGCATCAAAATAAGTGATACACTGGATTATTTTTTAGAAATTATCGTCTGTTGTCTGTAGTAATTGATAATGAAGTTGATTTTCAAATTGATCCTGATGAGAATATCTGTAGGCCTTAATCTGTTAACGTTTATACATATGAAAAGGTTGCATGCTCAACTACAACAAGATGACAACTATATATAACTTAAATTTTGATGATAATTGCACAAAATTCATGTAATTAGATATTACAATAGTATTTTGGAAAATTAACTCAAAGGTTTAAGTATGTTTACAATTAAATTGCAAAATGAAAAGGTCATTTACTTTGGATCAAGGATTGGAATGGAATATTTTTGTGCTAGCCCCCAGCTGTGGAAGTTAATGTCAATATTGAATACATGTATACATACATGCACATATATACTCAATATTTACATAAACTTCAAGTGCCTGTCCATGGTGCTAGCTGGCTGTAACTTTGCATTTTAGGCGTTGATCGATGAATATGCAAAATTATGTGTTAAGAATGATTAATTAATTTAATATTAAGTTTTTGACAGTTTATTAATATGGACAGCCTAGCTGCAGATCTTTAGTTCTCTGGTCTGAAAAAATTGGGAGGACAACCAGAGAGCTACAGTGCCACTCATTGAAAGAAGTGTATCATAAAATTATTTATTGCACACAAAAAAGTGCACTGTTCTTGATTTATTTTTCAAAATATTTATTATTAGGAACTGTATGACTGTTCTAGTCATATTTGTTTACTACTTCAACAAGAAATCTATATATAGATGCACAAGTCATTCAATAAGCATGTTGGACTGAATTGTCTTCCATCCAAAATGGCAGTTAAATAGGTGACATTTTTTATGGTCTCATTGTCAGCCCAGGAAGGCTATTAACAATGGTTTGGGGGAACATTTTGTTGTGGGAGTAGTAAATGAATATCTTGGAAACACAGTTTGTAATATTTTGTGAGGGCAGCTAAAATATTTGGAGAAATAATTCAGGAAACAGCGTACTTTTTAGTGTGCAATAAATATACACTTTGTTTTCAATAAGTGGCACTGTAGCTATCTGATCTTCCATCCCAGTCTCTTCACACCAGCGACCTACAGATCTAAAGCTAGGTCAAACCAACTCTCTACATTTATGTATATTCAATCTAAAAAGTAAAAATTGTAAACCAACAATAATCATTTTTTTAAAAAGGTACTTATATTCTTACATACACTTTGTAAATCACAGCCATGAGTTGGCATGGAGGGAGACGTGGAAGGAGATATTACCAGGACGATGGGGACAGAAACAATTATGGTCATGGGGCCAGAGGGTTTGGGGATGATGATGGGAGGTATGGTAGAAATAGGGACATGGATTATGGAGAGCGGGATGAAGGCCCTCAGGGTAATGATAGATGGAGGAACAGAGGTGGAAGAGGAAGACCTGATTATAGGAGAGATTACGGTAGAGGCAGTGATAGTCAAGGTAAGAATCACACTTATGAAAATTATGTATTAATTCATCAATCTGAATGAGAGCATACAGAACTGCATTATTCAAGTGTAATCATCTGAATCTGTTATCATATTCATAATGTTATCATAGTAAAGCTGCTGATTTGTAGTTTGTCGTATACACTTGTCTAGGTGAAAGACGTGGAAGACGTCCATTTGGATTGAGAGGCAGAGACATTGGAATGTTTTATGCTGCTCGAAGCAAGGCCAAAAAAGAAAGAAGGGAGATTGAAGAGGTAGTGATTGTTCATCAAAAGTTAAAAATGAAGGTGTTCATTATATGATTACCTGTATCTTCCACTTTTGTCCAGCCAGCCTTTGTATATGTATCAGTCTGATTTACTGTTTTAACAACACACTTGATGTGAAATCAAGTAATTCTTGTGATTTGCAAGTCTGTAAGGGTCACTGTTTATAGTAGAAAATAAAACTACAAATGTCAATTCACTGAGGTGCAATAGCACATACTATGCAGAGTACTCTTTTTACATATTAACTTGGTTTGCATAGCAAATAAATTATGTTATTTTGAAAATGCTACATTTTTTCATAATATAGACAGGTTTAGCATGTTATGATCAATGAAATACCTACTTGTAATTTAATGGTAATTTAGAGACCATTGGTTGCCATGGAAACCAGCGATATGAATAAGATAAAGAAAGTATTAGATTCCATGAAGGAAAGTACAGAAGAAAGGTAAATTTCACACACAGCTGATATAATATAGATAGGAATAAGTAGTCAAGGATTTTTAGCTCACCTCAACGAAATTGGGGGGAGCTTATGTAACACCATCAGCATCACAGGTTAAAGTTTTTGGAGCAGATTTCTTTTCAAGTACTTTTATGCCCTATATTAATCAGAGATGCATGGAGGATTCTTCTAGTATGTTTCAGTCAAGGTTTCCGATGCTCTTATTTTAGCTAAAGAATGACTAGGTTAATGTTTTTTGGAGCAGGTTAAAGTTTTTGGAGCAGACCTCAATTCCAAGTAACTATTAGCCTTATATTAACCAAACTTGCATCATGGATGATACATCTAAGGGTGCACGCTACTGGACTTGCTGGATGCTGGATCTGACGTACATTTTTAGATGAGTGACCAGGTTAAATGTTTTGGAGCAGATCTCATTTCCAAGTAACTATAAACCCTATATTGACCAAACTTGCATGGATGATACTTCTAAGGATGCACACTAGTGGACTTGCCTCTGATACTGGATCTTACCTACATTTTCCAGAGAAGTTTTTGGAGCAGGTTCATTACCAAGAAACTATAATGGCTATCTGAACCAAACTTGCATGGATGATGCATCAAGGAATGAACACTCTCAAACTTGCTTCAGTTGCTGGATTTGATTTACATTTTCTGCATGAGTGACTAGTTTAAAGTTCTTAGATTAGTCCATTCCCAAGTAACTGCAAGCCCTATCAGACCAAAATTGCATAAATGTTGATCTAGGGATGTTATTTAGTGTGGGACTTTGCCTTACTTAAAAACAACATTCATTGAGGAGAGCTCTGTAATCTCTGATTACCTATTTTTCAATATAAATGAATTGTAATTTTGGTAATTTCTTTGGTAAATAAGAAGAAAATTTAAACTGAAATATATATGACTGTGGGTAAATTTTGCAGGGGCTCTATCAAAACAGAGAAAATGAGACCAAGCACAGCTCCAAACTTATCAAGAGCAACTGATGCAAAATATACTAGCATGGATAGTACCGGTACCCAAGGTAGGCAAGCCTCAGCTGTTGGAATTGACAAAACCTCAACAGAGGGTAGTGACCTGGAGGCAGAAAAGGAGGGTAGTTATGTTGGGGAGGAAGTCTCTGGATGGGAGGCATCAGCCTCTCCTGAGAAGAAGAAGGTTAAGAAACATAGGGGTATTAAAAAAGAACCTGAGGAAGACTCGTCTGTAAGCAGTCAAACAGTAGCCTCCTCCAGTGTGAAGGAGGAAGATATAGTGAAGACAGAATTCCCAGATGTTGAAGAAATTAAGGAGTTTTCTGAGGATCTGGATCAAATTTTACCAGAGGGAAGCTCTGATTTAGGTATGCTTATTGTTGACTATGACAGGATTCACATTTAGCGCCGTAAATGTTGCCCGTAGTGTAAATTTATGATCATTGCTAAATTAAATATGATTTAACAAAATTGTGGTAAATGTAGACACAGAAATTGTATTCTAATAATTGTAAGTATTAATTTTTGTTAAGTGTGTAATTATTTAATTGCAGAGCTTGATCAAGAGATAAACCGCCAACCTGATCTTGATGATCAATTCAAGGCAGAATTAGAACAAAAATCATCAAATCCCAAGTATAAGAAGATGTTATTATGTAGGCAACGTTTACCTGCTTACAAACAGCAAAAGGTAAAAAAAAATATTTCTGAATTTTCCACAGCCAGGACTATGGTTTGAATAACAGTTGTTGAATTGCTTTTTCTGCAGAGAGTTATCCTCCTTTGCAAGAGCCATAATAATGACTTTAGTACCAATGTCTAAATTAAACATGTATGTCCTTGGAGAGAAGGTGATTGTTGGGTCAATTAGGGTTTTCCATTTTTACATACATGAAAACCCACAGAATCTCGGCTATGATCAACCTTTTATCTTCATAGGAAGTGGTGGAACTTGTAAACTCGAACCAAATAATTGTGTTGAGTGGTGAAACAGGATGTGGAAAAACTACTCAGGTGAGCTTCTTTTTCTATCTGTTGGGTTTAAATTGGGTGTTAGTAAAAACTGTGAATTTTCCTGCTTTTCAAAAAAGAACTTCTTCTACTTTATTTTGATTCCAGGTACCACAGTTCATATTAGATCACTACATTGAGCGTGGTATGGGATCCATGTGCAATATTATCTGTACTCAACCGAGGAGAATATCTGCAATTTCAGTATGTATCAAAAATGCATTACATGTCATCATGTGTTTACTGAATCAGCATATTTGCAACATGATGAAAAAGCACAATTGCATGTGCTTATTCGTTTATTAAAGATTGCAAGTGTGGTTTAGTTTTTGGCTCTCCTGTGGAAAAAAGTTCTATAACTGAATGCTATGGTGGAAGATAATTAATATTCCATCATTTTTTAAGGTTGCAGAACGTGTGGCAGATGAGAGAGCAGAAAAATGTTCCCAGTTTGATAGAAGTTCCTCTGTGGGATATTCAATTAGATTAGAGAAGTAAGCGTGTACTTCGAATATAAAAAGTTTTGCACATGTAAATAGTCTTGTTATATGTGCACATTATCAAGGGTGTATTGAAATATAAATACATGTATTAGCTTTATACTGAAAAAGTAACTTTGACATTTAAACCAGGTCAAATTCTTAGAGACTTGGTACACCTTAAAAAAATCTCAGTGAGAAAGGTTTTAGGGAGAAAAAAAACAACTAAAATAATGTGTAGAAAGTGAACCATATAATGTTATTTTAAAAAATGCATAATAATACTGTCTACAGGGAAATTTTTGCCCCCATTTTCGCCTTCATCGAAAATGGGCAGATTTAAAATTGGGTGATTTCAAAAAGAACAGCATTATTTTATTAACACAACTGTGTCTGGGTGATTTTAAAACAGAGCAAAATTGTTTGCAAGTGTGAAAATAACAAAAGGGAAAATAACCCTGTATACAGTAGCTCTTGCTCAACCATTATAAGTATAAGAAATCAAAAACTTTACTTTTTATATGAAATCTATGAGATCCAAAGGGGTTAGAATTGCCATTGCTTCTTTGATCAGTTGAGGTCTGTCATGTTTACAAAGATTGAACATTAAGTTTCACCATCATTTTTTTTTATTCAGCCGACTTCCTAGAAAGAGGGGCTCCATTTTATTTTGCACCACAGGAATTATTTTGAGAAGATTGGAGTCTGATCCGTAAGTATTAAAAAAATAATGATAGTGTAGTTGATTAGTTTCTGAACAGTGGCATAAATTGACAGAAGATTTAAAGAACATGAATATTTTTTATTTGATCCCTGTTAAAAGAAATAATTGTTACATTTCCTGTATTATTTTTTCATAGAACATTGAAGTCAGTTTCACATATCATCATTGACGAAGTTCATGAGCGAGACCTGCTGTGTGATTTTCTGATGGTGGTTGTGAAGGATTTAGTTGCTGTCCGTCCTGATCTCCGAGTTATTCTTATGAGTGCCACTCTCAATGCAGAAAAATTCTCCAAGTATTTTAGTAAGTTTGAAATATAGAACATGTTTTCAGAAATTTTTATTTTAACATGATGCATATACCTCTTAACATATCACTCTCTAAGATGATTTTTTTTCTCCCCATGAACTGTAGAAGTTCTGTATTTCGGAAGGCTTGATTATTTTTTTTTTTATAGATAATTGTCCACATATCAACATTCCTGGGTTTACCTATCCTGTAAAAGAATATTTCCTGGAAGATGTGGTGCAACTTACAGGGTAAGTATTTACCAATGTGTCACTGTAGATATTGTAAATGTATGTTTTAAAACTCAAATCATTAGCAAAAGTCACTGCTAACCTATGACAGCTTGTGGAACCACATAAACATTCTTGTAATTGTATGTGTATTTCTGTTCAAATACGGTTGTGAATTTCATGTTGCTGTATTGTACAAAGAAATAAATGTATACATATCTAAGGCTATGGATCCTACCATCTATAGAGCTTATTTCATATGTTTTCTTTTAATTTGAATTCTTCTCAAGATTTTTAAGCAGAATAAGACAATAGTTTTCTAATCTATATCCACTACATTGACATTGAACATTTCTGAAAGAGTAACAATTGATTTTAATGACAGGTATTATCCTGAGCAGCCAGCTCAACCCAAAAGAAAAGGAAGATGGGGAGGGAAGTGGAGGAAACAACAGCTGATGGAGGAGGAAGAGGAGAAGTGGAAAATGGATGCTTGGGCCAGAAATCTTCCCACCAATAAGTAAGTAGGCAAGGGAGGGAAAAGAGCACCAAAATTATGGATGCTCACTATTGACGAACAGGTAGGAAGGTCTTAATATTTTGTATGTGGAATGCTTTCTCTCTTGGAATTTAGGTTTTAATGCTCTATACTGAGATAATTAGACAGAGTGTTTTTTGATGATTAGTTGTTAGACATACATGACTTTTTCGGGAATGAGTTTTCAGGAAATCATTAATTTTATTTTCAGATTTTGCACATTTATGAATTCCAATTTACTAGATATTAATGTTAATTTTGGCTCAAATTTCTTATTAAAAGATGATTTTCTTTTTATTTTATATAAATTCTCCTTTCTATCATACAATATGTGCCTGCACAATACATTCTCTGACAAATATAATATAAAGTAGAACATATATTTTACATTTGTAGATATTCCCGAGACACGATATCAACATTAGAACGTATGGATATGAAGAAAATAGATCTAGATCTAGTCATGGCAGTTTTGCGTCACATTGTGAACAATATGAAGGTATACTGTGCCAAAAGCTGCCAATTCCTCTGTTGTAAATTTGAAATGCTCCTTGAGGACAATTACCTCTTGATGCATGTAAATGTTGTTAAAATGTTCTTAAGAATGCAGTTAAATGTAATGACTCTTGCATTTGTTAGCTCACCTGAGCTGAAAGCTCAAGTGAGCTTTTCTGATCACATTTTGTCCGTAGTCCGTCTGTCTGTCCGTCTGTATTCTTTTCACATTTTCGACTTCTTCTCCAGAACCACTGGGCCAATTTTAACCAAACTTGCCACAAAGCATCCTTGGGTGAAGTTGGTTTAAGTTTGTTCAAATGTAGGGCCACACCCTCTTCCAAGGGGAGATAATTATGAATTGGTGAAAATTTGGTGTCATCTTTTAAAAATCTTCTTCTCAAGAACCATTGGGCCAGAAAAGTTGAAACTTATGTGATACCTTCATTACATAGTGTAGATTCAAATTTGTTCAAATCATGACCCCTGGGGGTAGGGTGGGGCCACAATGAGGGATCAAAGTTTTACATAAGATATATAGGAAAAATCTATAAAAATCTTTTCAAGAACAGGAAAGCCATGATTAGTCATACTGATATTGAAGCATCCCCAGGTATTGTAGATTCAAGTTTGTTCAAGGAGTCCTCCAGTAGTAGGGTGGGGCCATAAGGGGGATCAAAGTTTAACAAAAGAATATATATAGGAAATATCTTTTAAAATCTTCTTCTCAAGAACAACAAAGCCATGATTAGTCATGTTGATATGAAAGCATCCTTAGGTAGTGTAGATTCAAGTTTGTTGAAACATGACCACCCCCCCCCCCCCACCCCACCCCCCAGGGTACGGTGGCAGACATCTTTAAAGTTCCGTTTTCAAGAACAGCAAAACCATGATTAGTTATATGAATACAGAAGCATCCTCAGAAAGTTTAGATTCATTTTCATTCAAAACATGGCACCTGGGGGTAGGGTATGCCTAGAACAGGCGATCAAAGCTTTACAAGAGGAGGGCCATATTGACTCAGGTGAGCGTTGTGGCCAATGGGCCTCTTGTTTATTTTATGTCATTGTATGTATATGCCTATTCAAACATTCTGTATGTGTATATAATTCAACATTACTAAAAAGCAGTAACAATATAATTTCAGATGTGATGATAATAGATAAAGATAATACATCTGTATTTATTTATACAATGTCAAGATTAATTTTTCTTGACTAGGATGGGGCAGTTTTGGTATTTGTTCCTGGGTGGAAAGAAATATCAGATCTTAATAAGATGCTAGAGAAAGATTCCAGGATAAACAGCAAGTATTAGAAGAAATGGAACTACACCAGTAACATGTAGTTACTGTCATTATTGTAAGACTGTTGCTTGTTATTTGTTTATGTGAGAGTAATTCTGTTACAGTTGGAAAGCTTCGTATTGTCCCATTACATTCCTTGATGCCCACAGTGAATCAAAGAGAAGTCTTTGACAAACCACCGCCAGGAATTCGTAAAATTGTTATAGCAACCAACATAGCAGAAACAAGGTACATGTATTATGTATACTAATTTATTGTAGAAATATTGATATGTAAAGTAAATCACTTTTGATTTTGAAAATGTTCAATAAATTAGTTTTGATGACAGATATGTTCAGTAAAACTCTTAGGTTTTTGTTCTTTTTAGTGAATTTATGGTTTAAGGTCATACGCAACGTACATGTACACGTACCTTACAATGTACCTTTCCTACTGTAAGATAATTTTTCAAGATATTCTTGATTTACAATCATAGTACCATCATATTCTCAGACAAAAAAATCATCATACATTACCAAGTGTTTTGAACAGATATCAAATGTTGAATATCCTTGTGTTATTCAAATTAAAATTAGCAAAAGTACAGTTTTAGCTGATATTTTCACAAAATTTGATTTAGAAGAAGTGAACAGCATCATTAGACATTACAAAAGTCACACAAAGTTCCTCCAATTATTGGAACTCTTAAATGATATAGAGAATAAGTAAATAAAGCTCAAAACTATGTGTATGTTGTGTATGCCCATAATACAATGAGGCTATTTCATTTTAAAGTAAATTTGAAGGTTCCCATTAGTTTATACATACAAGTAAACATGAAAACCTTCAAACATAGAGAATTGCATTCTTTGTGACTCTCTTTCAGTATAACAATTGATGACATTGTGTATGTAGTGGACTGTGGGTTTATAAAGGTCAAGGACTTCCAACCAGATACAGGATTACTGTCTTTGGACAGTCACCCTGTCTCTCGAGCTAATGCTCAGCAGCGCAGAGGGAGGGCTGGAAGGTAGACAATTCCATCAAATGCAAAGATATTTAAGTTGTTGGCAAAACTGTTAAAATAGGATTGTCACATATGAATATTATTTGTTTACAGATAGTACTAAAATGTGATAACATTTTTTCATGCATATCATCATTACCTGTTTCATGGCATTTATTTTTTTTCCAATGAATACTTTGGGTAAATTTGAAATTGAGACATCCATTTATATGAAGTTTTTAACAACCAATACTTTTTAAGTTGAAAGTAACAAGCTAACAAGATACTGTTTGTGAATAATTCTTTGTGAGCATGTATTTTTATCAGAGTAATTTTTTACCAGAGTACAAGCAGGTCATTGCTTTCATCTGTTTACAAGTCTCCAGTATGAGGAGATGAAGGAATATCTGGCCCCAGAAATACTAAGAACAAGGCTGGAGGAGCTGTGTTTGATGATTAAGGTGACTCATTCTTATTTACTGTATGGGAACTAGTTCTAACAAAGAGTCAGTTAAAAAAAAATAACAAATGAATATTAATTAAAGGGTGAAAATTATTTCCCATGTCAATGAGTGAATGACAGCTGGTGTAGGGTTGAGTTTGGATAAAATTCTAGCTGAAATAGGAAAATATCAGAAGTTATTTTATGATTTAAATATTTGAATGATACATAATAAAACTTGATTCCATACAAATGTTTGTAGATGTTGAAGTTAGGGAAGATTGAACCATTTGTCAGCAAAGCCTTGGATGTTCCTTCAGCTGAGTCTGTGAGAGCTGCTATTGTTCTCCTGCAGAATTTAGTAAGCCAAACTTACAAGTAAAATAGAAGACATGATAAGTGAAATAATTTTGTCCAATCAGTGTGTTATTTATTTTGGCAAGATAATTTGGTCCTCAAATATTTGTGAATGTTTCTAAAACTTTCTCTGTTCCTGATGTTGTCTAATACATCAAAAGAACTATATACGGTAAGGGCGTATTCCTGCCCCCATAATAGTCAAATTTTGAAAATCTCTTGAAATGAGAAAAAGTGCATATATTGTATAAAATAACCCAAATTAAGACAATATATTATGAAATTGGAAAAATTAGTTGGCTTTTCTTGTCTCTGTGACGTCACAAACTATTTGGATTTCCGTTATTTTTAAAATAGAGGCCAAAATGCACAGAGTTTGTTCAATTTTGACTATAGTATTTATAGAGCGCAAGCTTGCTCAGGTACCATATTCACATATTTCATTGATATTATCATTCTACACATTATATCAAAAGATCTAGTCTGAGCAGACCTGCGCTCGATAATTTCCAATCAAAATACCGACGTAAAATACGCTATTTTCTCTCAAAATCATTGCAATTTGGAATTTACGTCATTTTATTGACGTCATATCTAACTAATGATGTCATAGTTGATAAAAATATTTAATGCTTTGAAGTCTGCAAATATCCACCTGGTTTAGAACATAATTAAAGATTTCTCCATCAAAGTTTTATTTTGGGGGCAGATACTGGCCACTACAGAATATAGTCCTTTATCAGAACCCATTGATGACCTGGTATAAACTCATGTTACTGTATATTACTTTTTCAATATCAATTTACTATTTTAAGAGAAGAATATCTGGTGTACATGTAGTGGAATTGAACATTTTATCACTTTCAGCAAGCCCTGGATGATGATGAAGAGTTGCTTCCCTTAGGGTATCACTTAGCCCGACTTCCATTAGACCCTCACACCGGTAAAATGATACTGTTTGCTGCTATGTTCGGTTGCCTGGATCCTGTTTGCCTGGTGGCAGCATGTCTCAGTTTCAAGTCCCCCTTCTTTACACCTTTGGTAAGTAAAGCCTATATCTCCACAAATGTGCAGAGTTTAATGTATGGAAGCATCTTCCATTGTATTTTCAGAAAATATTCATAGCTTGATCACTTTAGTTACTCAGTTGACCTTTTGATACATGTTCTTTTCTGTCACATTTAGCTTCTTCTCTGAAATTGCCTATCAATTTCCCAAACATTTTTGTGTGTAGGATGATAGGGAACTAAATCATGGTCCTAGACTCTGGGGCCTGAAGGGTGGGTCCAGAACCAGAAAAAGTTATGCATTCTCCAAAATTTCTATTCTTTATTCCTTGAAATCTAGCAGAAAAACTTTGATTATAATTAGAAATTTGTATTGTACCAACATTGTTAAATTCACTACCCAAGGTAGTCCGAGGTTCAGGCCGAAGATCATATATTACATAGTAAATTAAAAAAAAGAAATTTCCATATATATAGAAGGCTAACTGCTTCCATGATTATTATAGGCAGTTAGCCCCCCTGTCTTTTTTAACTCTCTCTCTCTCTCTCTCTAAAGTATGAAATCTATGTCCATGGTTACCAAGTTTTCAAAGCCCAGGGTGGGGCTAAGTTGGTCATATATTTTGGAAAATACCTGTGCATTATACTTTTGACAAAGACAACTAGCAGGAAATTTTTACATGATTATAATAAGTAGATGGTCTTTCAACAAAGTTATGAAATTCATCCCTACTTGATTCAGGCCCCAGGGTTCAATTGAGTAAGTCTTATATTGAAAATTTATTTTTCATGGTACTGTAACTTTTAAAATCTTCTTCATTCCTGGCCATTAAGCAAGTAAACTGTGTAAATGATGACAACAAAATGGGGGCCCTCTAACAAACTGTAAAATTCATTTCTTCAAGACTCAGATTCCCATGTAATTTGATCATATATTTAGAATTGATGTTATTATGTCCACTCCCAAGCATTTAGATTGAAATAGTTCTTACCAAACTGTAAAATTCATGTCACTTGAGTAGAGTTCCAGTCCCAGGTGGGTAGAGTTGGTTCCAGCTTGATAGAAGTCATGATATGTAAGTGACCCTCAAAATCAGTGTCTCATGTTTCTCTTTGAAGGGAAAAGAATCGCAAGCAGATAGATGCAGAAAAGAACTGGCAGGAAGAAGCAAGAGTGACCACATGATGCTTATAAAAGCCTTTAAGGTACTAGAATTTGAAATTTGATATTTTGACATTATTTAGTGTTTTATTTTGAAAAAAAAATGTTTTTTTTTCTTTTAGATTAGATTTGTTTATGTTGTTGTTGTATTTTCATGTGTGTGTGTTAGTTAGAGTATGAAATTATTTCTGGTAGAAACTTGAAATTGACCTGATATATTTTTCTTCAGGGATGGGAGAGGGCAACACGAAATGGAAATGGTGGAAAGTTCTGTTATGATAATTTTATGTCAGAAGCAACACTCCGGGTATGTAAAGATAAATTACTGTATTATATTCTCTGATACTCCAGTTTTTGTACATAATGAATGTACATGTAATAATAAACCTCATTAATGCTTAATATGCATGTATTTCCTTAATCACAGTGATACCGGTATTTGTTAGATAAATTGTACTCTATTTGTGTATTGCAGTTGTTAAAGAAAATGAAGAAACAGTTTGCGGAACTGTTATTTGATATAGGATTTGTAAACTCTTCTGATCCAGAGAACAGAAAATCCAATGTTCATTCAGGTAAAATACACCCACAATTTTTTTTTTTAAATCAGTATGTGTTATACTTGTATCTGTATTGATTCAACTTTTGAAATTTGGAATTTTATGTGTATGTATGTATATTTTGTCTGCGAAAAATGTATTTATAGTAAAACCTGTGTAATTTGGGTGTTTTGTATTCATATATTGTGCCTATTACAGTAAAAACTAAGTTCTTTCGGTACATCCAGTGTTTTAAATATAATGTAATCCAGAATGTTGCCTTTTCGGGTGTCCAGATTAGAAAGTTTTACTGTAAATACATAATTTTTTTGATTCAGATTCAGCGTTTTCTTTCAGATAATGAGAACTTGATAACTGCTGTTGTTTGTGCTGGCCTTTATCCTAATATTGCCAAGGTCACAAAGGAAGCCATACCAGGAAAAAGGTATTTACTGACATTTAATACAAAAAATAAAACCAGAGCATATACCCTAGTTACAATGGGGCATCTGTAAAAGCCTCACAATGTTTTGTTTTCGTAATGAATATCCAAAGATACCCATTATACCGGGTACATGTATAAGCTCCAACATAACTATTGATTACTTTGTTCTAGATGTTTTACTTCAATATTGATGTTTTTCCTATAACCACATTAATCCATCCTCACAATGTTAGGGGTGCTGATTAACTTCATTCTATGGGCTGACTGCAGCAACGTCTTTCAGTGAAATTACAAATCTTGATTGGTTTCTTATCTCTTGACCAATCACATTTAGCCTTTCGGTGACAGACAACCTGAAACACCTGCATTGAGGTGTCATCTGCTTACTTGTTTACATTTTATATCAACTTATAAAAGCCCCAATTTGATTGGTGCTTCTCAATGAGAGAAACAAGTCTGTAAAATATCCAATGGAATTTGTCAGGAGTCCAATGGCCTAGATTGGACCCAGGTCCCCTGACATTGTGAGGATGACATTAATCTAATATTTGAAAAGTTACAAAAAAATACATGTAACTTAAAATCAAAAATCTGGTTTTGTTTCTACAGTTTTGTACAAGTACTCACTCATATACATGTACCTTCAAACTTTAAACTGATACTTACACATTTTGGTCACTTAGTGTCTTCCCTTTTCAAGTCTGTAAACAACAATGCAGTAAAGTGTTGAATAATTGCTGCAGAAGAGTTCTGTACCAGATTGTTGAATATTGATGAAAAAATATGCAAACTTTATTTTCAAGGGATTGTTGAGCACTTGTTTATCTATTCTATCATGAAATACATGTACAGGATTGATCGGGTAGATGTATTTTATTTAGGTGTGTAGGTGTACAACTTCAGAATGGAGGGAAGGCCTATGTCCACAAGCAGTCTGTTAATTCTTACGTGACATTTTTCCCATCAAAGTGGTTAATTTACCACAAAATCATGAAGACACAGACGGTAATATTCCATCTTTTAATAGATATTATTTGGGGGGGGGGGGGGGGGGGGTAAAATATATAGGCCAAAAAAATTACAGATTCTGTGTGAAAATATAATATTGGACATATCAGATTTTGATATTTAAAATGAATTTTTGTACATTTGGTAACATTGTTAAATGTTTTGCATTTCAGGTGAATGTTTATGACTGCAGTATGGTGTCACCCTACCCTCTGTTGTTCTTTGGAGGAAAAATCTCTTACTCTATTTCTCCTGTAGTAAGTAGTCTGGTTACATCAGCATTGATCATGATTAGTCAAATTTATATGTAAACAAGCATCTTCAAGAAGTGCAGTTTTGATTTTTTTCAAATCAAACCCCTTTAAGAGTGGGGCCACAAAAAACGATCAGAGTATATGTAAATAGGAAATTTAAAAAAAAAAACTTTAAAAAGGAGTTTCTTGGCCATACTAAATCATACTTGAAGTTTGCAAACATTGCCAAGTTGTGTATATTCATTTTTTTAAATCAAAATTTTTAACCCTGGACCTAGGATGGGCCTAAAATAGGAAAAATAAATCTTTCAAAAAGCCTTTAAAAATCTTTCTAAAGTTTTCTTCTCCAGAACATCAAGGCCATGCTAGTCATACTGGTATTGAAGCATTCCCCCTTTTTTTCAAATTCAAGTTTAGTTAAATCATGACCCTCGGAGCTAGGGTTGGGCACAACATGAATTCAAATTTTTTAATGGAATAAAGAAAGAAAAATATTGTACTTTGAAGGACAGCAGGGCTCACTCGGATGAGCATTTTGGCCTGTGGGCTCTTGTTATAAATTATGCTGAATATGTTGCCGCACTGGTAAGCACTTCAGATCCAAGCTAGCTACACACCTTTCTCTTCTCTTACTAGAAATACAAACCAGTAGAGCTACAGTTTCATCAGAGACTTGCAGCTAATTGTCAGAAAGAATGGTTTTTTAAAAGTACACTGTATTACTATGTAAAGTGCTTTAAAAGTAATATTATGATCCATGTGATTTTTACAGAAAGGCAGAGACAGAGAGTGCATAAAGGTAGATGATTGGATAACATTCTGGACAGACAAAGCAACCTTTGATCTAGTCAAGGTAGATAACCTTTTGTCAAGGCACCTAACCTCTGACAGATATTTGTTTTCATTAAAAAGGGCATCTTCCTGATACTGAGTTATGACTTTCATCAAGAAAAAATATCTACCAAACAGAAAGGGTGCATTGTAGACCTCTTAAGATAACTTGTAAAGAATTAAAGTTTTACATGTCATATATAAAATTACTCTGCATTTAATTTTATTTCATTTTTAAGTTATGTGCATTATTCATCAACCCAAAGTATGTGTTTCTTTTACAAAGATTTAGAGTTTGTTTTTTTTTTTAATTAAGTAACCTTTAAAAAAATTTTTGATAAGAGAAAAGTCAAACTAGAAGATATGTGACATTTTATATCTGTCAGTTGATGGAAAGATTTCATTGCTGCAGTAATACAAGTATGAGGATTAATCTATTACAGAGATAAATGTACATGTATTAACATGACATGGAACTTGATATGTTTCTTACAAGCACTAATAATTAATTCTTTAGTTAAATTCACATGCTCTGTATTCCATAGTCCTTAAAAGTAGGCAGAACTGAATTCTTTAGCTAATTATACATGCTCTAACTGCATTCTATAATCCTTAAAGGTAGGCAGTCAAAAATTAAGATAATATTTTACTATAGGTTACTTATTTTACACAATTTTCTAGGATCTGAGGAAGCAGTTAGACAGAATCCTAGAAGACAGAATTGTGTCACCCAAGGCCTTTGATTTGACCGTAGAGTCCAGAGACCAGGTCATCATTAATGCTATAGTGGACCTCATTTGTAAAGAGGAAGTTAACTTCCACAACTTCAGAGAGGAGGATTTTGATGATTCCAGCTGAGGACACCTCCCCTAGGAAAGGGGAAATTTGAATGCTCCATACAAAGAGAGTAGCTATGTGAACAATTTCTAGCCATGGCATTATCTTTCCAGCACACATTTGGAGATGAAAATTTAAGCCAGATTTAATGCAGTGAGGGATTTTTAAAGATCTAGGGTAGTCAGAGTTGAATTCTACAGACAGCATTCTTTGATTCACACTGATGCAGTAATTACACCTACCAGAAAGGGTGTAGAAAGTCAGACATGAAGTGTCAGCTATGACAAAAACACAGTGATTTCTTTAATTCTTGTTTTACTGATAAACTGAGATTTGTATTGTTGTTGATTGCAATCATATTTTATATTTTGACATGAATTAATAAAAGTACATGTAGCTTGTTTTTGCTAATTAGCAATTCCTAAAACTACTATTCCAAGTGAACAGAGGTTATGATGAACAAAATTATGTTAGGGAGTAATTAGCATACAGGTAATGAGTACAAACAGAAAGAAAAGTTTGAATTCCACAATAAATATCAATTTCAAATGAATGAATATTTTCTGAATTAATAAATTTAAATTAATAATGAGCGAACTTGAAAATAGTTTATTTGACCTTTTAATGAATTATTTTAACGTTTGGTGCATTATTTCATCTTATCTTTAGTAATTAACTAGATGTGTTTATGAAACACTGATGCCCCTGTATGGCAGCTCATGGCCAAGGTTAAAGTTTTACAAGTGTAGGTCAAACTCCAAGGTCAGGAGATAAAAAACCAGCATCTAGATGAAAATTTATTATAGCAAAAATACTATATATGTACTCCAACCCCAACCCCAAACCCCCCCCCCTCCCTGCATTCTACAAGTCTGTTTTATACATGAAATGTGAATTAAGGAAAAGTAGTACTTTCTGCCCCCCCCCCCCCCCCCAACACTAAGTCAAGGCTGTGGACGACATAATTTAATATTAAATGTTTACACTTTAATCTATAGATAATATATTTTCAGTTAATAGTTTAGAATTGTGAGGTTGCATTGAATTTTATGAATTTTTACCCCATCAAGTTATCACAAAGTCGACTCCGAAAATAGAACCGCATCTTAGGCTCAGTTGTGGATTAAAACAATTTTTTTTTTTACTTATAACCGATATTGTTAGAGTGTTGTGTTATAGGTATTCATACCGGATGTGGCCTCGTTGATTACCTAATAGTGCATCATGACAATCAAGTGGAAAAACCATATACTCTTCCAACAAAGTACTAGTAAAAGTCTCGAAGTACTTGATCATCTTAATTAAAGATATTGCCAGACCGAATAATGTGTGTTTGATAAAGCAATATCACACACAATTTTTTTTTTTTTTTTTTTTTTTTTTACATATTTTTAGATATTTAACTTTTTTTCTATTTCATCAAACGTTCAGAAATTGGCGGGAATCTGGGCTAACATCTCGCGAAGTCTTGACACGACTTCTGTTTCCAGATCTAGGCGAGGAATTGGCACTTTTCAGTAACGTTGTTCCTGTATTATTACTGTCCTTTAACAACGGCAAATTAGGAGTGTACATCTTATAAAACGCTTCCCGAAACTGGCTACTCATGAAGAAGAAGATCCAAGAATTGACGTTGTAGACCAGAAGCCATATGACAACACCAATGGTATCCCATGCCTTATCCTCCTCTTCGGAGAGAACCCCTCTTTTGTTGTTTGTGGCAATTTCGTGCACGTATATAAAGAAAGCAATACAGTCCTGTAGCTCAGAAGCCAGAAACAGGAACAAAATTACAAATAACATGATAGTTGCTCGATATATTTTCTTGTCCGTGAATGACGAATTTTGACTTCCTTCAGAAATCGTCTTACCTTTGCACAACAGTTTGAAGGTTAACACGCAAGTGGTAACAGAAAGAACAATGCAAGGCAACAGCCGAGAAAACACTTCTGTGACAATATAGTTTGTAATTACTGAAGATCCGAGGTTATCCGAAGATTCCTTGAACCAGTGCGCAAAATCTCTGAGACAGCTGTCTGGAAGTTTTGTAATTCCGTCCTCCGCTATGACTTCCAGCGGTGAAATGTCAATGATCAAAGACTCACATATGAAAATGAGAAAAGCAGCAAGAAATATCACGGCGATACTAATACAAGTATTTCGCATCGAACAATACCTTTTGGCTTGAAACGGAAAAAGCACAATGATACTTCGCTGGATACCCAGAAGTGCCACAAGCCAATTGGAGGATGTTCTAGACATTTGATGAGCTATATACAGAACGTGTCTCACAACACACCAGTGATAGGATAAATACTGCGTATGGTATCCCTTCATGTAGAGATGGTAAGCTGAAGGCATAATTGTGGCACATATTATTGTATTAGATATAGCTAAGGCTAGAAGGACAACAGAGGTTGGGGTCCTGATTCTTTTCCAAATAAACACAGCAAATACCAGACAGTTAATGAGGATCGTCAACAGAGACAGAAGGAAGTACACATATCCTAATATAACGTTCTGCCAAGAGGCAAAAACATCTACTTTATATGGTAGTGCAACAGTGTCATAGTAATAGTAGTAGTAAGAATATTCCGAGGCATTGGTGTCGTTAACAGAGGACAAATTTCCATTTATGTGAAAGTGAGAGGTGTTATCCGCCACTAACGAAAAAATTCCTAAAGTAACGCCATGAGTGGTATTGAAATCCATTTCCAACCTTTGCGTTTCCAATAATGGAAAAATATGCGATTTTCTCCCCTTTATACACATCTCATTATCGTTTATTTTTCAATAGGTCGACCCTTGCCATGACAAGAGGACTCGATCAAAAGACAACATGAAACCGCTATCAGAAGGTCAACTTTCGCTTGTTTGCTGTAGATTATGACTCTGAGGTTGGCGTGAAAGGTATCGATGATGACGAAGTGATAATCGGAAACAGAAGTGAAGTGGAATCTACTCCTTTGACGAGTTGTCAGGGCTTAATCACCGTCTCCTTATCGTCGTGTGTTGAACCGCTATCTGTGAGGTCTGTCAAACTCTTGACTTAAATCTCTAAGTAATTTGACTAATTTATGTTACTGATCGAACGGTTAAAACGATAATGTTTTTAAAGAAACTCATAGGAAGTTTAATTAAAAAATCTAAAGAAAATTTATTCATAAGAAAGCAAACACCATGAAGAGAAAGAGAAAATTATGTTCCAGGATCGATTAGAAGATCTGTATGTCGCACTCTTTATTGGTGCTCTTAAAAAGTAACAACTAGAAAACAAAGTTATTAGATATACACTTTTCTAGTTAATCATCTTCCTAGCTGTCTATATCATCATGAATCATAATCTTTATGATCATTGAGAAAGTGTAAAAAGATTTTGGCAAAAAACATTGACGAGCAACTTGTCCTTCCACATTTACCGTTCTTAGTTAAATTGTGTTCCTCTGAAAAATAAAAAACATTTTGCCAAAGAAAAGCATTGCCTTTCAGATCTAGAACCTTTGGTAGCCTCCGAAAGGTACAAATTACCTTCTGCATTGTGGGAACGTCGATATCTTCATATATTACATGAAAGAATCTTAAAAAGTTCGGAAGCCCATTTAGGACATATCAAAAATAATTTTGAATTCGATATAACGAATTTAATTTGTTATAACAATTTCTTTGATTTCGTTATAATGAATTTTATCTGTTATAGCAGATTTGTTGAATTCGTTATAAAATTTGTAATAACGAATAAACTCGTTCCAACGAATTCTAAATTCGTTAAAACGAATTCAACAATCAGTTATATCGAATTCTTATATATTTTTCTATAGGCCCTGATCGTTGAATTTGATTAAATGAATTTAATTTTTTCATCGTCAACTTCCCATATTTATGATAATGTAGCAATATACCCTTATCACCTGCATATGAAGTTTATGCCTCCCACTTAATTCGATACGCAAGAGCATGCTCTACGTACGAACAATTTCTAAAACGAAGCAAGCTATTGACAAACAAGTTGATGGAACATAATATCAACAGTCTTGTTTGAAGTCAATATTTTGCAAGTCCTTGGTCGATACAATGACGTTGTCAGCAAATGCAATCTATCATCGAATGGCGACTAACGTTTTTCATACTAATTTTTGGGCCATTATTTATACACTGAATTGTCTACGGATTTTTCTTTTTCCCGATCATGACAAGGAGCACACGGCTTGTGAGACCGGTCGACAGGGGATGCTTACTCCTCCATGGCACCTGATCCGACTTCTGATGCTTTTAGAGGTCTGTATTTGCTCTGCTCCCGATTTGTATTGTTTCAATGAACTTTTGAGTTTGATTACTGTTCGTTATTTCCATATTGTATCATTGCTGCGGTGTTTTCCTTCGATGTCCACTGTGTTTTTATTTTTGATACACCATGACTAACAGTGCTCTAACAACCATGCTCTATCAAGATGGAACACGCCAGGGTAATGATGCAACAATTCCAATTACCCTTGACCTTACATTGATAAAGAAAATGATTATAAACAAAGAAGCTGACTTTATGAGCAAAATACAAGCACATATAAACATAGTGAAGGTATATCTTTCCTTAGGTCTACATAAAAAATTCTAAATTTTGCACGTCAATTTTTTTTTAAAATCCAAAACGAAATTCACACAAACACATTTTTATAAATGAATGTTTTCGTCTCTCATAAACTTGAAGCTAACAAACCACACACAATGTAGTACAGGGAGCGAGGTGGATATTCCTTGTTTTCTAATTCCAACACAAATCGCTGCATCCAGTAATTTAGAGAATCGCTGTTCATTTCGGTCAAAAGTGGACATTTTCCCGTGCCGCACGCCACTTCTTAGCTTGAACGTTACGAGGATATTTTTGAGAGTCTATCAAACCTGAATTTCATAATCGGACACTTGTAAAAACCTTTCATTTTTCGTCTTCGTGTCGACCTCAGGACTGGTGAAATTAACGCCATCGTGTCTAAAATATCTCCTATATCGAAATCCATAATAGGTTCAATTTTTAGTTCCGGTAGATCAAACGTCATACCACAGGCACCTGAATTTTTTATCAATCAGTCGCTCAATAAGCCAAATATCGAAAGATTCTACCCCTCTATATATATAAATACACGTGTATTTATATATAGAGGGGGTAGAATTTTTCGATATTTGGCTTATTGCGCGACTGATTGATAAAAATTCAGGTGCCTGTGGTCATACTTCCCAAAGAATCTTCAACCTGCATCTGGTTTCCTAACTGATCTAAGGAATTTTCCTTCATAATTTCGGTTTCCGTGTCTATAAGAATTGCGAAAGCATAAAATCACAACCGTCATTCAGGCCATGGCGTTCAGAATATGAATGGACGAGGTAGAAAGTTCAAGAAATACAGCGCGCTATACTTTTCGAATCGCGTGCTCTTTTTTCATTGGTTATATAAAATGGTATGATGAAATTTTGATAGATCGTGGCTAATTCAGTGCATGGGAATATGTAGTTGAATTAAGTGCTATTAACGTGAATTTGATAGATCATGGGTAGCTCAATACCTGAGAACAATGATACAAATATATATTACTTTTATCTAGAAACATGTTAGCTATGATATTATACCGAAAATCTGTGTCCAACCCCCTTTAATACTATCAGATAAGTGAATTTTTGAAAAAAAAAATTAATGTGTACTTATGTACAAGTTTTATTGAAATCAGACCAAAGCTGTAGAAGGAGGAGCGTTTTAGAAGAAATTTATATACTTTTTGTTACCATAGCAAAACCGTTCCTCGCTTGTACACAATGTTTTATTGAAAGAACTGCGAACGGTAGCATTGTTCTCCCACCTACCTCCAAGTCAATTTTCAAAAGTAACATATTTGAATGATTTTTCATATTTATATAGATATTTATATGAATTTTCATAAAACATTACTTCTTTGGGAAAATAAAGAGAGGTAACTCTATAATTTGGATAAAACTTGTGTTTTTCACTATAGAAATCAACGGAAAACGGAAAATATTTTTAAAACATCCCCACCCCCCGTGAAACAAAAATTCCTTATTACAGGTAATATAGACTGTCATTTCACAAATTCATACCAAAGCTTTTTGTGTTTCACCGGGGGGGGGGGGGGGGGGGACATATATTTACAGACAAAAACTACAAAAATGCTTATTTTTTTCACCAATTTCAAAGGGTTTTACAACTAAAACATTGTATTTTATTAATAATATATGTTTAATTTTATATGCGTAAAACATCAGAAAAGATTTAAGGAACATTTATTCATATCCAAGAATATTTTAAAATGTGTTGATGCTTGAAAGCCCGATTTCAATGGAAAATATCGTCTACCCCCTTATTTAAAGAGCTGCAATTAGGGGTAATTAACTATTTTACACTGGCATTAAAATTATCAAGTTCAAGTTCAAGTTCTTTATTTCTTTGCGTCATACGACACATCAGATTACATATATTAATAACTAAACATATATACAATATTATAAAATATAACAATATGAGAGTGAGCATAATCAATAAATAGCCAGTAAACTATGTAGGACGTGTTTTCTAACAGGCAACTGTAATTATAAAACACTTAAAAAATTTACAAATGTTTCATTCTTCTAGTGGAAGCTTGATATAAATATTTTCCAAGGTTACAAAGTTCCTTTATATTTTGTACACTTAGAAGTTGAATTAATTTCCAAACACTGGATTTCTTATAATAATACTTTTTCAAATACTTAGATCTAAGGTCATGATAAAAAGGACATTGTAAAATAAAATGAAATTCGTCTTCGATAACATTCAAAGAGCACATTTTACATAATCTGTTTTTTCTAATTTCATTAACATATCTACCAGTTTCAACATTTAGATTATGTGCAGATAATCTAATTCTAGCAATTTGTATTTTGTACATATAATTAATAGGTTTACGCAAGTAATATTGTATACCAAAATTATCAACCAAATGTTGGTATAGCGGGCTACGGGCATTGCTACAAATATTAGAAATCATAGTATGGTTATTCACCTCAAGGAATCTTTGTTTTACTAACATGTAAGTATTATCATTGAAATCTGCATCAAATATATAGCCAAGTCCCAGTTTATTAAGTTCATTTTGAATATCTCTGATCCAACTATCATTATTCCTTAATCTTTCTTCCAAGCATGATTTTAGTAGAATATTTTGTGTCCCCTTTAGTTTCAAAAAATATTTTATAATTTTCAATTTTCTAGATTCCCTCATAAGCATTCTTCCTAGTTCGAAATACACAAGATTGTTACAGGCACTTTTTTTAAACGAAGTAACTTTTTACAAAAGAGACTTTGTATTTTTTCTACATCTGGAGCTTTATGAAATCCCCACACCTCTGCTCCATAATTAAGAATACTACATACATACATTTCAAAAAGTGATATTTGAGTTTCGACATTAAAATCAAAGTTGCAGAATTTTTTGTTCAACGCATAAAATGCTTTTCTTCCCTGTTTAGCTACGTGCTTTTGAGTTATATTAAATTTACCATTATAATTGAAACACATTCCTAGATAACTGAATCTATCTACTATTTCAAGTTCTTTTCCATTGTAAACCCATTTTTCTTCATTTCGTAAACTTTTACCATTTCTAAAAACTAAAATTTTGGTTTTATCTGTATTAACTTCAAGACCCCATTTCTTATTATAAGTACTTAAT